GGGGCGCGCCGCTGCTGGGCGCCCCCCGCTCCGCCGGGCCTCACCCCGCTTCTTTCCTCGCACAGCTTCTCCCTCACGCTGATCGACGCGCTGGACACCCTGCTGGTGAGTACGAGCTGCCCCGGGGCTGGGCCCGGTGCGCAGGGCCCTTCAGGCCGCTCGAGGCCGCTGTCAGCCTCCTTCTTTACCCCTGGCTTGTACGCGGTCGTGACAGAAAGTGGGTTATTAATGACCAGGGAGCTTTTGCGTTTCCCTTCTCTCCAGCCCTGGGAGGCAGGTGGCCAGGGCTCCCCGCCCCGACACCTTCTAACTCTGGAATAGAGATCTAAAGTGTGTGAAGAAAACGTTTTGAAATGAGATGAAACTGTCAGTCGCTTTGTTAGTGCTATCTGTAATTAATGATTTCACAAAATAATAAAACAAAAGTAGAACGAACCCCTAACGTTGAACTGCACCTTTGTTTTCCTGTGAGCTCTAAGCCTTGTTCTCTGTTGTCCTGCTCCCCCTGCAGATCTTGGGAAATGTTTCCGAGTTTCAGCGAGTCTTCAGTGTGCTGCAGGAAGGGGTGGATTTTGATATTGATGTCAATGCATCTGTCTTTGAAACTAACATTCGAGGTAAGGTGGGTTTTTCCAGGGTGTTTATGCCGGATTTCTTTCCTGTGCGAGTCCCTGAACTATACACAGAGGTGACGTGGGGTAGCGGCCAGAGGGAATTTGTAGTGCAGTGTCACAGGGCACATAAACACACAGAAACGCCCCAAACAAATGTCACTTCCTTTTTGTCTTTGCACCTCACCTTTTTCCTTCCTTTCTCAGCGCAAACAGAAGTAGACGTGGCAGTTTCAATGTTCTGGTGCCGGGTTTTGAGCTTTGGAATAAACATCTTTTTCACTGAAGCAGTACAAATTGCATACTATCTTTTTTTACATCGTTTTGGAATAGAGATTATTAATTTCTTGGGTTTAGCATCATAAAGTGAAACTTGTCCGTTTTTTCTTGAAAATGGCAAAGGCCTTTGGAGTCTTGTGTCTGGTTAAATGCCTCCCTGCTTCAGTGCCATCCGACTAAAAGACACTGTCAGGGAACAAAACTGTGAATTGCTTTTTTTGTTTCTCCTGTCAAATATTGCTGAGCCAATTTTTGCAGCAGCAGCATTTCTCTGTGTTTGTGCTTCTTGTGTGACAGCAGCCAAGGCTGTGAAAGGGGTTCGTAACTCCCTGCCTCTGTCAGTCACACCGAAATCCTTGGTTCTGGCCTAGACATTTTTCTCCCAGGATCGAAGAAGGTGCGCTCTGTTACTTTACACAAACATTGTATTAAGCTGTCTGGAAGAACTGAAGCAATTCCTCTCATAGAGGTTTGTGTTCACGTTACTGTTAGCTCTCTGCTTGTCTGCAGGGCAGTGCAGGTAGGGTAGGGCAGGTAGGATCTGATGCTTCTAAAATAATGAAAGAAATATATCTGCTACCCATTTCAAACAGGCAAGAAGAAACAAACCACTCTTCTTTTGTGGCATGTTGAATTAGGCTGTTAAGGATGAGCCATCTCCCTTTTCTTCCCCATGAACTGCCTCTGCATCACGATAAGTACGGCTGGTAGCAGATTTCATTCCTCCCCACGTTCTTTAATGGGATTCTCACTGTGTTCCTTCCAGTGGTGGGTGGTCTCCTCTCCGCTCACTTGCTGTCAAAGAAGGCTGGTGTCGAAGTCGAGGTGGGCTGGCCGTGCTCTGGCCCTCTCCTGAGGATGGCGGAGGAAGCAGCTCGCAAACTCCTGCCGGGTGAGCCCTTGGCTGGTTAGTGGCCCTGTGCTGTAGTGTGTGGGTGACTGGTGTGTTTGGTGAAGATGGCACCACTTGATGGGTAAGCTCATAAACCAGTCCTGCGTTCCCTGGGCTCAAAGCAAGTTTAACTTGTGGGGAAAACATTGTGAAGGGCGTGATGCCAGTTGTATGTGTGCATAGCAAGTGTTGTGTGTGCTTGATGCGTCGGTTTGTTGCTTGTTGAGGGGAAATGTATTTAATATAAATAATAAATAAAGGCTGTGAAACGGCAGCTTGTAAAGACAAGAAGCTGCAGCCTTATCTACCCCTGTGTGAGCTGCTGCTGGGATGTGTGCCCTGATAGCGTGGCCCTGTTCCCCTGTGTGGTGGGCACCCTGGGCTACCACTGAGTCATCGCGAGCTCAGCGTTTGCACTTTGCTGACCAGCGTGGGTGGTTCCATTTTGACTGCCCTGCTTGGGCTGTAAAGAAGCGTAGGGGTGCAGCCTGCTGCTGTGGGCAAGGTGGAAGAGGTCTGCAGTGCCTTCCCAGGGCTGTGTGTAGCTTAGGGTACCCTCTGCCCCTCCCGGGATCACACTCCACTTCTCATTTCGTTCTTTCCAGTTGCAGCTTCTTGGCTGTGTGCAGTGGAATGAGGCACAGGTTTGCTTGAGAGCCTGTCAGATGTGACAGTGAACACTGGTGTGAACCAAAAATGCTGTGTTTCAGCTTTTCAGACCCCGACTGGGATGCCATATGGAACAGTGAACTTGCTGCATGGAGTAAACCCTGGGGAGACCCCAGTTACCTGTACTGCTGGAATTGGTACATTTATAGTGGAATTTGCCACTTTAAGCCACCTTACTGGTGACCCAGTGTTCGAGGATGTGGCCAGGAAGGCTTTGAAGGCTCTGTGGAAAAATCGCTCGGAGATTGGGTTGGTGAGTGAGGAATGGACTTTGCATTTGCTGGCCTGCTCTTTGTGTAGTTTTGTGGATGCAATTCTAGGCCTAGAGGAGACAGAAGTGGGTAAATAACCACAGTGCTGGTAACTGGGCTGAAGTCACATGTTTGACATTGCTCCTGAACAGCGGCAGCGTCCACATCTCTGCTTTAGTGGTGCCACCCAGCATCGTGCCACTGCTCTGCTCCGTCACAGATGTTGGGAGACGGATGCCTTCTGCTGGGTGTGGTGGTTTTTGTAACAGCAGCTGTAACAGGTTAAATAAAAGGTCTGTCTAATGCCTGGTGGGACAATGGCCTATGGAAGAGAACCAAGTGCACCAAGATACTACCAGCCTCTACAGCTTCGGTGTTTTAGGAGTTTCCAGAGCTAGAAGTGTTATCTCTGTGTTCACTATCTCCTGGTCAGTCTTTCTTCAGTTAATTTCTGTAGCTGCTTTTTGAACCTATGTGAGCTCCTAGTGTTGCGTATGTGAAGTTGAACAGATTTATTCATATGCTGTAGGAGTGTTTCCTTTTGTTTGCTTTGGGATCTGTTTATTTTTAGTTTATATCCCTAATCCTTCTTCAAGAAAGAAACTGAATAGCTGGTTTTTTTCATCTTTGCTAAGCAAGCAATGACTGTGTGTTTTATATGTCATCGGCTGGGTCTGTTTCTAGGCTGAAGAGTCCCAGGTTTGAAGGATCTATTTAAATATTAGCATGGCAGCTCTCATGCCTTTGACATCCTTGGCCTCCATCTCTGTATCTGTACCTCTTCATGCTTCTCTGCTCTTTTGTAAGATTTGAATTAAGACCAGACACATCATGTTGAAATTGTGCATTTTTACAGTAGCATAGTGATGTTTTCTTTTGGCCAGTGCAGCATTTATATTGAAGAGATAAAATTCCAAAGTTATTTTCTATAGTTTTTACTTCTTGATACTGGTAAATGTGTCTTGTAATGGAGAAAATGCCAGCTGGCTTGGACGTGGTGAATCTGTGAAATGTGACGGTCTGAAAAAAGGTCAAGGTTTTATTGCACAGTTGTGTTGTGGGGATTTTTTTAAGCTATGATTTAGTAGATTAGCTTTATTTCCACTTTAACTGCCTCTTCTCTTCTCGCTTCTTCCAGGTTGGTAACCACATTGATGTGATAACTGCCAAGTGGGTGGCCCAAGATGCTGGCATTGGGGCAGGAGTGGACTCCTACTTTGAATACCTTGTTAAAGGAGCCATTCTCCTGCAGGACAAGGAGCTAATGTCTATGTTTCTAGGTGAGCAGTTTGTTTTTTGTGTGAAGGGTCCCAGGACCCTCCCTGACCGCACCTGTAAAAACTCTGTGTGGGGGACGGTGGCAGAAGATGATGAAGAATCTAATAGGGTACGTTCGAGGCTGTTCCTGAAGTGTTTGTTGTGATACTTCTGAACAATCTGTGGTGACAAAGAGTTACCAAAGTGGCCCATCATTCATTTGACATGCTCAAGTGAAAAAGGGGCTTCTCTTTTTCTTAAAAAAAAAGTTGGTTTTTTTTTTGTTGAGTTACTTACCCATCTATGTTTCTTTATAGAATATAACAAAGCTATCAAAAATTACACAAAGTTTGATGACTGGTACCTCTGGGTTCAGATGTACAAAGGAACAGTGTCCATGCCTGTTTTTCAATCCCTGGAGGCCTACTGGCCAGGCCTACAGGTAAGTGCTGTCATACCAGTAGCATAGAGTGATTTTGTTCATCTGTCGTGGTTGGTCTTTGATATAAAAGTTACAAATATAACCCTTGTCTGTGCTGATTTAAAAGTTTGTTTTGATCTCTGGTGAAATCTGCAGTAGCCTGAGCCTGTAGAAGAGCAGATGTTGACTTTATCTATGGTCTATGAAAAAAGTCTCTCCCATTAAGCGTGATGGAGGGCAGTTTTGTTGTAGCAAACTCCACTGCCAGAGGTCTCATCATCCACATGAGAACATAAGGCAAAAGAAAATCACACCTCTTTTTCTACTGCCTCATAAATGCTTTATTCGTGTGAACACTTTCCTGCTGGGAAGTTTGCTTTCTTATCAGTACTTATGTTTGGTTTGGGACTTTGTTATCCCCACTGAAACAGACTAAACACTGCAATTGACTACAATGTTGACTGGAGAAATGCAGCTTTCTGTTAACTAAAAATGGAAGAGACTTTATATTATTTAGGTGTGCGGAATGCACACTTTTCAACAGAAAAGCAGCACCAATCTCCTTAGTCCTGCCTATTCTTAAGGCATCATGCCTGAATGTTACTTAGAGCATTTAGACCTGCTGAGCAACCCATTTTTGTCACTATCCCTTGCTTTGACTATAGGAATGTTATTGCATCAATTCCTCTGCTGTTTCTTCTTCACTCGGATGTCGCTTTGCTAATTCCTTCCTCTCTCTCAGAGCCTGATTGGGGATGTAGATAATGCCATGCGAACCTTCCTCAACTATTACACTGTCTGGAAGCAGTTTGGTGGGCTGCCGGAGTTCTACAACATTCCCCAGGGCTATACGGTGGACAAAAGAGAAGGATATCCCCTCAGGCCTGGTAAGCAGAAATAAAATAAGAAGGAGTATCGAGTCCTGCTTTTGCTCTGGTGGTAAGATCAAACGTTAGCAACACCTGCCCTCCAAAAGTTCCTCCCCAGTTTTGCTTTGACTTAGTTCCTGCAGACTTTTTACCAGTGACTTCGTAGTCAGAGCTACCCATTTTGCTTTCTGCCGTTCCCAAAGGCAGGGCTGCCTTTTAAAGGAAGCAAACCACAATGTTACTGTAGAAAGGGGGCTTGTCAGTGAATTGGGTTCACAGCATAGGATTTGACATGTTGAAGTGTTAGATTGACTGACAGGGGATGTTTTAAAGTCATGCAGAATGTTAACGTGGTGCTTGTGTCCCTGAAATTCAGGAAGTGAGAGTGAGTATGAGCAGAGCACTCTAGTTCTGCTGAGTTCCTGAAATAAACTCGTTCTAGTTGCACTAGTAAAGTTCAACATATAGGAGGGATTATATGTTGTCTGTGATACTGCAATGAAATGATCTGTCTTTTTGGGAGGGGGGGTTGGGGTTTTTTCTTTTTTTTTTTTCTTTTTTTTTTTTTTTACAACTCTGACCAAAAAAGCCCTCCAGACCTCACACCTGATTATTGGGTCAGTAAAACTTTGTAAATGAGAATAATTAATTTCCTTTTGGTCTGAGTGTTCAGGTGACATCCACGTTGGACACTTCTACCAAAAATACTCATCAACATTTACTTTCACATGTATCATGGCATCAGAAAGACCTGTTTCTTTAGAAAGTAACCACAGCTCACTGCCTCTGTTGCCTATATAGTGTATTTCCATAGTGCTTGTTTTTGTGGTGTGTTAGATACCCCTGTTCCAGAGGCTTACAGTATTGTTTAAAAACTATATTTTGGGGGTTGAATTTTTCCTTTTCTTCCTTTGAAAACCGAGTTTTAATCCTTTTCTCTCTTGCTCGCCTCCCACTCCGTGAATGTGGGAGGGGGCGTTATTCACTCTTACCTGAGCTGATGCAGTCTGGTTAGGGTGTGAATGTCTCTGTAGCACATCCTTAGTAAAAGCAAGTGTCTGAGCTTTGAGCCAGAGGAAGTACAAGGCAAGTTAGGCTGTTACCTGGTCATCCTCAGGTAGTATTTTTAAATTAGTCTAAGGAATATCTTGTCTTCCCTGTGTGCATGGTTTGGTGATCTTTATACCAACTATTTGGGTTTTTTTTTGCAGAGCTGATTGAGAGTGCGATGTATCTGTACCGTGCTACAAGAGATCCCACGCTCTTAGAACTGGGAAGAGATGTAGTGGAGTCAATAGAGAAAATCAGCAAGGTGGACTGTGGATTTGCAACTGTAAGTGCTTAAATCAACTGCCGAGTTGGCTACATGGCTGCTAAAAATCAGCTTTTAGAAAGTGTTCTCATGAATGATGTTTTGCCATTGAGTCAAGTGATTACTGTGGTTGAAACATGACTTTTTCAAACAAACTCCTCGTATTTCTCTGTGAAGCTGACGTGGTAACCACTGGTCCTGTTTCTGGTAGTAACTTCCTTCGTGGCCTGAACAGTGGGCCTAATTCTGTCTTGGGCTGTCACATCAGAGCCCAAAACGTGGGAAAACATCAGAAGCTTCTCCTGCTGTCACAGTCCACTCAGTGGACTCATGATG